TTTTTATTAGACGGTGGAAATTGATAAGCGGATAGAACGTTCAAAAACACATCTTTCAGTTTAGAATCTTTGAGCATAATTTTATCTTTCTTGATATTTCTAGTCCAATTAAAACTAACAGAAAATTTCATAGATATTGTTTGATAAAAGAAATTATTTAAAGTCAATTTAATGTCTTATCCTCTCAACTGTTCTAAATATTTTTGTAGTTCTGTTTGGGCTGACTGATCACTTATAAATAAATTATATTGTTCAATATTCTTCAACGGAAATCTTTCTGGTTTTTTTACATTATGTCTGTTGTAACAACAAAACCGTGCTAGCCTGTCTGTTGTGCCACAAGCTAACAGGTTTTGGACATAGGGCGATTATTGATAGGGATTTTATTGTAAATTTATAATTAATGAGCAATTAACTTTCTCATAAATAAACAATAAGAAGACAATGATCGGGCACCAGACAGAATCAATCGCCAAAAATTTACAATTTAATGTACAATCAATTTTATACTGAGCCGTACCTTGAAAAGGACGTCTTCGGACAATAATAAGGCGACGGATCCCGTTGGATGAACCAGCTGACAATGTCGAGTAAATGGCTAGGGCTGATTATTCTGCCCAAACGGCGCGAATAACATCAGCTGACACTGTCACAGCACTGCTGACTGACTAACTTCTATTCGTGTAGTCTAGTGACTGACTGACTCGCATCGGCGATCTTATACCTGGTGTGATTCCGATAAATGGCCAATAAAATCTATTGATTGACGTGATTGGAGGATTTTAGTAAAATTAATTGCAATTTTCCACGCTCACAGTTCGTTACACTGTATTGTTGAACTAAGAAATATGAAATATTTTGCCTAAGTACATCAAATTAAATTATAAACATTTTTTTTATTTAAGGCATTGCAAATTTTTCTCGTAAAACTATACATTTTTTTAAATATTTGTAATTATTAAACTGATTAATCATTGTATTTGAATTCATTTTAAAATTCAGTAACTTACAATTGTATGTTATATTGAACCAAGTAATTAATCACAGACATGTTTAGCAAAATAACGAATTAAAAAGCATATTATTTTTTTTCAAGCATGACATAATAATTTTCATGATTTTGGAAAATTTATCACTTTTATGTTTAGTTTTTTTTATTTTAGTACTTAGTCAAAAAAAAAGCTTCTTTGAGGATTATTATTTATGAATTCTAAAAATTATTTCATTAATTGCTTAATCAACGTAGCTGTTATTTATTAATCTATTCATGTATCTATTTGGCAGATTTTATGAATTAATCCTTAAATATGTAGAGTTGCAAATTGGTAGCATACCAATCTAGGCCAATTGTTTTAAGCTTAGTGCGCGTTTATTCGAATATTATTAACTGAATGCATAGAAACACAGTCTAGAGTTTTCGATAATTATAAAGCTTTTAACTAAATTTTATATCTTCAAAAGTATTTTCTTTAAAATTATAAACCCTACGAGAAAAGGTTGAACTTTTGTACATAAGTTCAACATATTCTCTAAACAAAATTCAACATTGCAAATAATGGAATGAATTTAATCAATAAGTTCTTAGATATTAACTGTAATGATCATATCAATTTGTCTGCATTTAATTAAGTACAATTGTAAATTATTTTTAACTTTAATGTGTTTAGTGAATGTAAGAAATATTTTTTATGAAGTTCAAGTAAATAAAAAAAAGTTTAAACATTGCATAAATATTATAAAGCATCTCATGAATTCATTTAATATAAAAAATAATGCAAACTTCTACAACCTGGAAATACTTCAAAGTTATAAAAATTTCTGAATGGTAATTTTTTACAATTTTTGTCAGATACTTTTTGCAATCTAGTTTTCTCTGCTAGCAGGCAATGACACCATTGAGGGAACAGTGTTCTACTTTCTCCACAACTGGAATATAAACATCATTTGGCGAATTACTACATTCTAGGAAAAAATTGCTTAAAATGTCAGCATAATTTTGATCATTTCATAATTGCAAAAATTCTCAAGTATCATAATAACCTAATATTCATAAATTAAATAACTCAAGATAAAAAGATGTATCATTGAGAAAATTCAATTCTTATCAAGATAAACTCAAAAGCAACTTGTATTGAATTATGCTCAAGGTCAAGTTATCTACTTTAATAGTAAAGAAATAAATAAACGTTATTATGTCAAGAATTACTCTTTATTTCTTTTCTGTTGATTGTCGGCTTTTATTTTTGTACTCATTCACCAATATCTACTGCAATAATTTGTTTAGTATTTTAAAAACCAACCAGACCCTGAATGTTGATATAAAATCAAAAGACTTGTCATAAATACAATAAAAAAATTATTTAACAAAGAAAATTAGAACACTTGTATTTTTTTTTCTAAACCACCAAATGTTAACAAGGAGTCTTTAAAGTGATATTCTGATGTCATCATGAAACGTAGTAATAATATACAAATGAGAGATAAATAACGTTTGTTAACATTTTCATATTAATTAAATATTAATGTTAAATTTTAAATGAAACCCTGCGTGGCATCGAACCATTTTATCACGTCAGGAATTCTTTTTATTGTCGAATTGAGAAGTAACAGTTTACTTTAATTCTCATGAATTTTATTTCTTCCACTATTAATTATGACCCTACGTCAAATATACACTAAAAAAAATTGATCGTAAATATTTACTTCCTACTCTTCAACAATGAAAAGGTAAAAATCCTGGTAAAATAGTGAATATTGATTTGTTTTTATTTCTTTTTTTTCAAAAGTGGTCAAATTTTCTAGCGTAATAGCTGAATGCAAAATACATTCATATTGATTTCAAAATTTTTATAGAATGATTTATCAATTCAAATGACCGCAAAACTTTCTATTGAAGTATTCAAGAACGGTTCCATTCAAAACAATTTAATCGGCAAAAAAAAATTTAGTTGTAAATTCCAATTGAAAAAAACATCTGTAACAATTAATACCAAATATTATTTTTCAGATTTTGCTGAAAAGCAAACCGATTTTTATGATAGAGCAAAACTCTCCGACTATGTCACGTTTTATAATTTTGCATGAGAAATTTCATTAAAAATTTGGTCAAAAAAATATTTATTTCAATAAATATTTTTTCATATAATAGTTTTGTAAAAAGCTGAAACAGTTAATTTCGATAATTGATACATTGCAAGTCCGAGAAAATTCAAGTGTTTAGTGATAAATCACTTAAAGTGTTTAATAATTAAACACCAAAGTGTTTACCATGTTGAACATCATAAACAAACTATAGCATTTTGGTAAACGACAAAAAGCATTTAGAGTCAACTATAGTGTTTAGTTTCTCAATACTTGGGTTTGCAGTGTAATGTCATTAGCGCTGTTGTAAAAATTTAGTAGCACTGAAAAACTGTTACATTCGATTTTCAATACCATTTTCATTTTAATGATCATTAATAGTTATTTTTCAATCAACATTTACTTTTGTTATTTTATTTTTAATTTGTTGATACTAATTTACAAGATTTTTCAATTTCAATACAATGAATCTATGAATGAGCAGTCAATAGAGTTATATTTTGATGAAAGTTTTCCAGAGTTTTTAGCACAAATATTAATGCCGATTGTTAAAACAATATTTGAAAATTTTTCATTCGTATAAATTAATTTTTATTCAAAAGTAATTATCCATTTTAAAAGGAAAACGTATTAAAAAAACTCAACTTGCATCATGATGCTACTATTAATATTCAAAAATGATTTGGATCAAGCATTTTTTTTTTGAAAAAAGAAAATTGTTCTTTCAGAGTCCATTAAACGTAACTTGATGGAATAAATTAACTGCCAAAATCACGTTTAAAAATTTTATAAATGAATAAGAGGATTTGTCGTATATTATCCTACTTAATAAAAATCCTTCGAAAAAAACAAAGTTGTATTTAGGTCATAAAAAACAAATATTTGTTTCCTCTGTATTCTCTATTTTTGCAATCCAAGGCAACAACATAGTTAGAATAATTTCGTAAGTAAAGAAAAATACTTGTCAAATGGAGGAAGTGTATTGAATCCTTTCAGACAACAATGAGCGACATCCCATGAAATAATTTACATATCGATCAACACATGAGCCAGAGGTATATTTTATTTTACCTTACATCCTATCCTACCGCCAAGAGTGATTTTCAATTTTTTCCCACTGGTAAAAATCGAAATTAACGGTTTTGTGTTATTTACATATATTAAAAGGAATCTAATAAAATAAAATGAAATATGATGAGGATGTGGTTTATTGAATAAATATTAATAGAAATAATAACATTCTTTCAAGGATATAAAAATAAACCGAACGAATTAATATCGATTTTTCGTTACTTATGTATAAAAATTACATACCAACTAGGATCGATGCTACCAATAGACTATTTCCACACTTCCTAAAGATAAATAAACTCTGGTGCAGTTATTGGTTGTCTTAATCCAACAATATTTCATTGTATAAACTCTTTCAGTATTAGCGGAACTCACTCTATCATTTATCAACTCTATTGATATTTATATACTTATTTTAGTTATAACTCTTTCTTTTCATTATTACTCTCTATCTGACCATAGGATGTTTTCGAAAAAATCTCATTAGTTATTCTTCCAAATGTTTAATTTATTCTAAAGTTGTAGGATAATAAGCATGAAAAGTTTCATTTTAATTATTAATGAGTTCTCTTGTTTTTCTATCAGAAACTTATCAGTTTCGACGACTAAACTCGAGGTTGTGTTACTTTATTTAAATGGAAAAGCTTTAAATATGAGATTGAATCTTTTAAACTATTCTTGGAGTTAGCTTGAAGCCAAATACGTCGTATAAATCTGTAACGATCTTTTCTGTAACTTTTCAACTGAATATGCTCGTAGTTTTTGAGTAAAATAATTTTTTTTTGAAAATGAGAAAAAGTTAGTCTTTTATATGAATTTTTTTATAGTGAAAATCGTACGTGACTCACCTTCATGCCGTAGAAGTAGGAAGAGTAGCAAGATCACCAAATCCATCGCCGGGGGCTACAATAGTTTACCCTTCCGCGTGGTTTCGCTTCGATAAATTTTTCTCTTCGTCGACAAAAATTTTTCAGATCCTTCAATTTTATACCTCTTTACTCGTTTACACCTCAATCAAAAATGTCATTTTTGCAAGCGGAAAATTTATCAGAACCCGTCAATAATTTTTGTTTCATGTTTTTATTTTTTTTTTATAATTTTTATTTCACACTATCAGTAGAAATTTGCTTTTCACTTCAGATAAAAAAGATTGCTAGTGGCAATTCGATTACCGCTCCGTCGATTACAGTTGTATAAGTGAACAGGCCGGCATACTCCTCGACTCACTACTGAAACACACCCTCTGTCCGAGGGGTAGTACAACTTAATTGCTGTCACATTGTTATTCCACTGTCAATTAAATTTAATGACTCTGCTGGGTTACGTTTCGAAACAAGATCTGGGAACCACGAATAATTTTCTTGTATAACGATCTGAGTTTTTTCACTGGTTAATACTTTTCACTATGACCCAAAATTACCTTCCCAAACTTTACACTAACCACTATTTATCCTTATCATGCCTCTATGACCGTCAAATCATATAACACCATCTTATCTTCTGGTATTTGTCCAAACCGACCAATTTTATTAACGTGAACTCGTACAAAATACAAACCACTGAGATTAGAGAATGCCGGAGGGTTTATGTTGGAATTTAAGCTTTCAGAAAGCCTTACACAACCGGACCTTTTCAATGCAACTTGTTGCAAGCGCTCGATGCTATTTTAGTTTTCTACAGAATTTATTTTCAGCTTTGTTTACAGCATCATTACTAGACAATAATTGTTCTCTAAACAACAAACCCAGGTGCATTCGAACAATTAACTTGCTATCCAATGCAAACTGTAAGTTCGAATAAACTTCTTCACAGCTCATTAATTGTCTAACCGTTTATCAAATGATAGAAACTGCAAGATGATCATCAATCAACGTTTAAATTTTGCACATTAATTATCTAATGAACAGTGTTTTAAATTAAATTAATTGTAGTAAATATTTCTTTTGTTTCATTGAGACTGAATTTTGTGAGTGAAATAAATTTCAATACTAAACTCTTATGGCAATAACAGAGTCATGACATCAATAAACTATTAGCCGTTGATATCTCCACATTATTCCAATGATCACAAGTCATAAAAGTAGATGAAAAATTTATGTGACCCACAATACTTGTTTTCATTAGCCACACAATATTTCAGTCAATTCTCAGAACATATGAGTTTCATAAATTATGAAAAATCATATCTGCATAGGAAACAACTTTAAACTTTTTTCACTCTTTTTTATAAATTCAACTTTTCCAAGTAAAAATGAATTGAATGAAAAAAACTATCGTTCATCATAATTAAACATACATTAGAATTTTTTTCGTTAGAAATAACTTCCCTTTTACTCGAAACTTTCCGTTCGAAATGTGTTTGTCTCGCGACGCACGTGGTGACGGAGAAAAAGTTGGCGCCGCGAGTGGCGGATGCGGACTACGAAAGCTCACTCTTACTCTGTTTCAAGCACGGACCATTTACACCTGCGCGCATGCGTCTTGTTTCACATCCTTGGAGAGTTAGCATTAAAGTCTGAGCGAATAAATATACTCATAGATCTATGCATTCTTCATTAAACGAAACACGCAAAATATATTTTGCTTTTTCTACTTTTTTTTTTCTGAGAAAAGTATAATTTAAATGATAGTTTTCTGCATGATGATATGATGAGTTTCACAAAAAAGCACATGAAAGATATTCAGAAAAAAAAAGAAAATTATTTGATGTAGTCAACTCTTTTAAATAGAATTTTAAACTATTGTTTGAATTGCTTTCATTAAAAAGGAACGCATCAATAAAAAAATAATTCAATCGCTTGATATTAGTGGATTTTATGCAAAGGCAATTTTAGTTATTAATAAACACTTGGAAAATAAAGAATAAATTACAAAGAAAGAGTTAAGATAAAATAGAGAAGTTTTATTTATTAATTTTATAGAGATTGGTTAGTCAATACAATTTCTATTTAGATGATTATTTCAATGTCTAAAATCAGATAATCATTTTTATTATAATTTTACTGAAATAAATAATGAAACAACTACGATCGTTAACCGCATATTAATCAGCATCATTTTTTTTGGATTATTTTTAATAATTGGTTCTCCATAGTATTGACAACTTTACATGAGACTTTTTTCTATATTAACATTTCTCCTTATCGATTTTTCTTCACTCTTTTTTACTCTACCCTATTTTCTTTTTCTAATCATATGTAGTATAAAATATTTGATTTTATTAAAGTTTGTATTTTTCGGATAGTCGACAGTTTTGATGTAAGCAATGCTTGACTGATTTGTTTATGTTCAGTGTTTGATTGAGACCAGCCTTGATCAGACATCTTTTCTCAATATGTCATCATTTATTTATTTAATAAAAATTTCAATTAATTCTATTAAATATTTAGTATTCATTTTCCTATCATTTATAATTTATATGTAGATGCACCCGAGTAGAATTTATTTTAGGCATACCTAAATATCTGTTAAGCCTTTATTAGAAATTGAATAGGTTAGCGTAAATTAGGCATTCCCAACCTATGCCTGATCAATTTATTTTTCGGATACAATAAAATTTTTTCAGTTTCTCACTATCTAATAAATTTCCGATTACAACCTTGTGAACTTAACTAAAATGATGTCTTAGTTAGTTATTTATTATAATGAATAATATTTAAATAATGACATCTAAATTACATCTTACATCTAAATTAGGTACTTATTACATTGGTCTCATTAAAATGTTTGAAGAACGAATAAAAAAGTTGTAAGGATGAATTCAAAATGAATTTGTTACAATATACACGGAGAAAAAATTCCGTTAATTTTTATTTAAAAATCCATACAAAAATTACCGTGCTGCTCAAGAATGTGAGTTCAAACTTACTGAAAAGTAAAAAGTAATGATCAACATACAAAAATTATAAGTTACATAAGAAAATGTATCATTCAGTTTTTTGAAAATTACTTTGGCAGCACCAGAAAATTTAGTGTTCCACAGCACCTGAAAATTTAGTAACGTTAGCTGTGATAACTACGTAACCGACAAACAATTTTATTTAAGTTTAGTGATAATTTTTTTGGTTATATAAACAAATAAATAAATAAATTAGGTTCATTGATAATTAACTTTCTTAACTAATTAATTCGTTGGAATGAAATACGGCACACGTTTTACAATACTGCCCCCCCCCTATCCCTACGATCGGGATCTTACGCAGAAAACCTGTGTCGTCGATACAACCACCCGGCTCTCCGAAGAGATCTTCCTCTCCCGCTCACGGTGGCCCGAGAAAAATCATATAAATGACTTTTGTCTCGGCCGGGACTCGAACCCGCGACCCATCGTGTGTCAAGCTGACGCTTACCCATGAGTCCACCGCGTCAATCCGTTTAAGCTTATCATAAATTGTTAAGATATAACGTGTTGCCGCCAATATTGAATCGTAACGAAAAATATGAATGTCATCTTTGTTTACAATATGGAAAAAGTAACTATAGCACTGAGGGTGTTCACACAATCAAAAACAAAAGCCGTAAGATGTACGCATGCGTACAAACCAATTTTTAACTTATTATGATGTTAGTATGCACGCGTACGTCTTAAATTGTACGTTTTACGGCTTATGTTTTTGATTGTGTGAACGGTCTTACAATACAAAGAAAGATTGTGTTGGACCGATAATTCGAAGATTCCCGACCCAGCACGGAAACTCTCGAGAATAGAAAAAATTATAGGAGAGCACCCGAATTTTTCCTACCACACGGATCATAATAAATTATATACAGATTCTCATTTTTTTCTAGTCACTTACTAATTTTTGTTTAAAGTTTGAATAAAAATTAATATTTATCGAATATTACCGTGCTGCATAAGAATTTTTACTTTTACTCTTCTTAATAAATATTGAATCTATAATAAAAATTTTAAAAGGATTACTAATTTTTCTTTGAAGGTTGTCTTAATTTTTTAGGGAATTGACATTTGCGCGTGGATTGTTGTGCTGAGCACGGTAATTTTTATTGGAATTTTTTCTCCGTGTAAAAGATCTATATTAAATTAAGTATTTTTTTAAAATTTCAATAACAAATCTCTTAATGATAAAAATGTTTTCAGATATCCTTTTTTCTTTAAATAATAGTTAATTATTTTTATTGAACCTTAATTAGATTATGTTGACTGGAAATATATTGTAGTTTGAGAGAGAATACTTAATTGAGAGGTATGAAAATATTTAAATCATTAATATTATTTACTAATGAGATTTAAAGTAAATCAAGATTAATGTAAATCTTTTAAAAAATTATACATATTGATCTGTTCATATCAGTACAATGGTAATAATTTTCTAATTGAATGAATAACCGAGCGGGTAAAAACACTGGTCTAATTATTATTTAAAATTGACTAGAATTAAGATAACGGTAATTTCATAAGATATTTCCTCATACATATCTCTATAAGAGATGTAGCCTACAGCAATTCACTTGCATTCTACTCTTATAAAATAGTTTCAGTGGTTTTTTAAAAATAACAATGTAAATGTTTTTTATTTTTCCCACTATGTTATAATTAATAATTCATGAGTCACTCTCATTACTGGGCTTGCTATAGCGTTAAAAAAATGGTTGAACTTGAACCTCTAATACTTACTTAAAGTGTTTTAAAATGATGTCACCTATTTGATTAACATTGTAGTCACTTTTTAAATACTTGGAAGTGTCTAAAAAATGACTACAATGTTAATCAAATGAGTGACATCATTTTAAAATACTTTAAGTGTTTTAAATTAAAACACTTCTAAAATTCGAGATCGGAAGTGATATTAAAGGTGTGAGTTAATGTTTACTAATTGTGTTTGATCTCTGTAAATATTTATAGAAATTCTGCAATAAAAACTTTCCAAAAAAAAGTCACCGGTCTAATATGCGTACATGCTAGCGATCGTAGGTTCGAATCTCCCAGGGAACAAATACCAGCATGTATTTTTTCGTGGAAATTCAATGTAAATACGTTCAGAAATTAAGTATTTCAATAATACTAAATCTTTAGAAATGAGATAATTAAACAACTTTGTTTTTATATTTATCTTGCCTTAATTAGGCTTGCATCACTTGGTCTCAATGGAGACAAACATAACATTCCTAATGTGGGCCTAATGTGGTATCTCACTTGGCATCTAATTTGAATTAAGAAAATTAGAATTTGGTGCAAACTCTTTCCCAAGAATAAATTCTACTCGGGCATAATCGAATACATAATTTTAGAGTTGATTACAACTTTGATGTAGTCTAAATAGCGAAGAAGGAGCGTGCTAAAAAAGGCGTAGAACAAATGAAATTTTCGTCTCAAGATATATCAATTAGGCTTTGAATGATGAGCATAGAATATTTTATCGTTTGATAAATAAAATTCTATTATTCGGAAAAAGATGAAGCTATCTCAAATAAGGATGCATTGGAACACGTAAAAAATAGATCTTGTTAAAGTGAGACTTCACTCTATAAGTAAAAAAGTGGCATAATAAAAGTAAAAGAAAAACGAGAAAAATATACAGCAAGTAAAAAGCGAAAATACTGAAGACAGTGACCGAGCTGTCAGATAAATAAACGTTTTTGTACTTTTACGACGAGAACGCGAGACAAGGCAGATATTATGAAGAATCAGCAAAGAATTGCAGTAAAGGTTCTCTTGAGAAATAAAAAATAATAGAAAATATGAATAAGTAGAATAACAGAAAAGTGAAATAATGAAAATATGTATTTTTATCTCAAGAAATTGTCGGAGTTAAAAAGTAATATCAAAACGAATTTTTAATAAATTAATAATAAATAATCTTCTTTATGTTCCGTTGCAATCTGCTTTCTCTCTTTATGTTTGGGCAACGATGCTAAATCATGCCTGTAATAGTCTTTATACAGTAGGTAGTTGATTTTTTTTATCATATATCACATCCTGTTCAATAAGGTCTTGTTGATAAATTAGTTTAAATTGATGCTTCTAACATTTCTAGAGAAATTTTACGACTTGTAATGATGAAGATTCTTATTATCATTTTGTTATCTTTTTGAATATATAAGAGTATTTCTTATATTGTTGATAATATGGAAATAAGAATGATTATAGCTATCGTTGATACCTATAAGTTATGAGCTGTAATGTTTCATTTTATCTAAGAGAACCTGTACCACAGTGAAATGATCAGAATTTGGGGAATAGTCCCTAATCATCAATAATGATCAATCTTAATCTTTACTTATTCATCTACTTATGAGGTACACTTACTTCGTCCCTCAGCAACGTAATAAACAAGCTATTTGCAGATCACTTCACAAATACAGCTAGACGACTTCAACCAAACTTGTTTCAACTTACTGTCCCATCATACTTTTTTCAAGTAATGCTTTCTGCTTCTCTTAATTAA